AGTAGCCGCCGTAGGCCTTGTAGGGCGAGACCTTAGCCTCGTTATATATATTAAGTCGTAACACCTATTATTATTATTTAGTCCTTACGGCCTAAACTTTTACAAACTTACCTTACTATAACTAGCTAGCTATAATATTTTCCTTAAAACTATTTAATAACCCTCTTTATTATTACCAGCTAGCTATAATATTATCATATATTATTATTACCGTTTAATATTAAAAATAAACAATTTTCATTATAATTCTTTTTTTTTTTTCGCTGTACTCATTATCCTTTAGATCTTTTTTAAAATCTTTCTAGATCCCTCATCTTTAATTATTTAATTATGAAAATATAGAAGTATGTTTTATACTATATCTTTTATAATGTTATATAAAAAGAGCTCCATCATGAGAGTATTAGTCTAAGTTAATTTAAATTTAATACTCTTCTTCATTTCATTGTATATTAACCTCCTATTCATTATAATTTACTTTCTTCTACACTCATAGCTTCTGATTGCATCATTGAAGCGGCCATTGCCGTCAGCTAAATTATCATCGTCCTGGTTACGATATGACTCGCCGCGACATTCGCGCTCCCTATATAGATAATCCCTTTTCTTAGCTCAGAAACGTTTTAAACAGTAGTGCTCGATCTAAGTAGGGTTGGACTTACCGATACCAAATGCAATTATCCCTGTTCCTATTATTGTTGCGAATAGAACTGATGCGGTCGACGAAACCCGCTGGGACATTATCTACCCAGGACTAATGTGTGAGTAAGATGCGAGCGGATGACCAGGCACAAGGCTAGGCGCCCAATCCAATCGAAATACTGACAGCAGGATCCAGTCTGTATTACATCTGTTCGGCAGCGGCCTCTGAACCGGGTATCGTCACACATGAAGACGGTAGCTTCAGCGCGAGCAAAGACTGCTCGGGACGAAGCCTCGTCAACGGGAACAGCGTTGACCATTGCAGCGAATGCCCCTAGGCAGGATAGAGTCAATGTAATAGAAACCATTGTAATCAAAGCGTTTGTAAGGATAGATATGGTGCGTACTTAAAAGGATACAAGGCTCCGAAATAGGTTGCGTGAGGAATGGGGTATAAATACTGGACCGATACGTCGAAAACCACCAGCCCTACTTTCTTTCTCCCAACCTTCTGAAACCAGGTGCTGTACGACATCAGTTAGGTTTCCTTGTTCCATGAACCCCACTGTGATTGGTTTCTTGAAGCTAGTAGTTAAATTGGGATATCCCCGGAGACTGGTTTCATCATTTCATCGCTACTTCTAGATCAACTTGAACTACTATACTGAGTGTAACCCCGCTGCGAAACATTACGATATGCTTTGCACCGCATTCGACAAACGATGAGCTGACGATATCTTGGAAGAGCGAAATTTCCGCAAATTCAACTTCTCATTATTCAGTGTGCGATTGGAAAGACCCTTCAAACTCTGTGCTGCTTTTCTATTTGAGACGGCATCGTTCACACACGTGCAGCACAGATCTTGCCCTCCATGGCAGATCTGAGCAAACACATCTGAAGGAATATGCACCACCGGGTACCTCTTCACTTCCGAGGGGTTTTTTGGATGAAAGATCTAGATGAAATTGAGTTCCTAAACCCACTTCTGTTGTACTTACCTCAGATCAACTTGTTGAGACCTAGGCAAGCCAAGCTTGTGACATAGATATCTTGGGCATGCGCTCGGTCTCGAAATCAAACGAAAGTGGTTTGAAGTCGCGCCTCATTAAAGCAGATGGGTGGTCATCTGAGCTGAAGCTTCGTCTCTTGAACCTAAGAAGTGATGGCATCACTGTTGTGCCTCAAGTGCACGTGCTCGGCAGCGCTTCAGCGGTCGTCTTTCGATTCAAGTCACTCACTTTGTCCAGCCTCACTATTCTTATTCCATATAGAGTTTATTTCACAGTCATCGGTGTCGAGCGTTGTTGGTCAGTTTCGTTTGGCTTTCGACATTAAGTTCGAGGTCTTGTCATCGGACGACAACATGGCCAAAGCTCCAGGCTGACGCTTGCCCCTCGGGCCAAGCCGTCTATCACATCTCGCGGTCGACCTTTTAGTGGCTGTGACACTCCACAGATACGGGAATTTGTAGTGATACGGGGCAGTCTCTATGAAGTTCCCTTACTTCGTTATTGGATTCCCGTCCATTCTGCTACTGTACTGTACCACTCATGGATCATAGGACATATAATAACAAACCGAGAAAGTTCCTGCTACCCTGAAGCCTCTCCCACCTGTATTTCTACCTTGGCATACTCGTTTGCAACAGCGTGTCGTTTGTCCATAACTTGGAACCTCACCATGATACCTATGATTCAAGTCATGATCATAATGTACAATTTCTTTGCCATGATATTTCTACTGACTTGATGCGAAACCCTTTAGATCTCCTAGCCCTCCGCCTTCTAAATCGTGTGTTGCACATATGTAATCAGGGGCAGACTGGATGTTAAGCTATAACCAAGTCAGAAATCTTGCCGTTGGAGATACATTTCGAAAAATGACACAGCCGCTCACTAGACCTGGTTCTGCGATGAAGTTGTCCTTCGTTTCTAGCACTCCATCTCCTCCACTGCAAGAGAAGACCTCGGAAAGGTGTGGCCAAAGTGCCCTGACAGTAGAAGCACGCGCAAAACCTCCGTCAAATAACACATCGATTTATGTCGATGAGCTTCTCAGTTTGGAAGTCCAGGGCTGAGGCAAACGGAGAGGATAATGGGCAGACCCCGGCGTTGGATATGATGGCGATTGGGCCAGAGCTAGCACTGTAGTCTAGGAAGTGAAAGCCGTACCCTGTAATGTTGGATGTTTATAGAAATCAACTAGTCTTAGCATCTTGGTTCTTGGGTACAATCAGGAGGCGAGTCCGCTTTAATCTTGCGGGTGACAATAGAAGCCTCTTCCCCTTTCCAGTGTTCCCGGCCCTTCCAGCCTTTCATTCCCTGCCAGGTACTTCAGCCTTTCCAGCCTTTCTCTATTCGCCTGCCTGTTTGCCCCCTGATATACGTAAGATGACTTTTGATTACCTTCTCGATTTGAATAACAACCGTTGATACGCGCATATTCGCACCAGCCCGGCATGGTCTCTTTGCAGGATTCTCGGCGTTCGACTCGACTACCAAATGCAAGGGGTTGATACAATTAGCCTGTCCGTACAGGCCGATTGCTTCTAACCCCTGGAATAGACGACGTCTGACCTTCTTCGAATGGAAAGCAAAGATGGCCAATCGATGGCCATACTACATGTACGGCTGCTTCTTTGCCATCTCTGGCACGCGTGGCCTAGTCTCAACGTAGCCCTTTCTAGACGACTCATTTCATTATATAAGTACACTTGTGAATAGTAATTCGGATGAAGGGGTCATACACTTTTGGTAGAATGCTTCTGGAAAAGGATGCATGCATTCCGATACCTCTTTGCTCGTCTCTTAAAACGTCCGCTCGGAGAAGAATTCCCAAGAACCAATATGAGCCACGCTATGAAGGCCGCTTTCCTAGAGCATCCCTCAAGTTGGCACGCAGTGGCGGATTGTAGCTTCCGAGCGATGGACGCTTTGGGCGTTGACGAGACTAGAGTGACATCGGGAGGTGTGACAGACGAGTGAGGTTGTAGGGTGAACTTCGGAAGCGACTCAGGCCTTCCGCGTACCATAATAGAAATGACATAGGTGAGGAATACATGCAATATGGGACGAGAGAAAATGATGAGTACGGATGGCAAAGAAGAAGTTAGGATGGTGGTCATAGATTAAAGGAGAAGGATAGGTATGGATGGCGATTGAGGACGCATTTAAAGTAAAAATCAGGATGAAGGCAAAGTCTCCCGGTAGGATGGGAGTTTTGCGATACTGAGCAGTGAACGCGTCCGATAAGACGCGCTCAACATAGTCCAATTCCCGTAAATCGATATACGGAGTATTGGCGGCATTACGGATAGATAGCTGTCCAAGGTAGGAGGGTCGCGTATCCGTAGTATCCTTGCGAAATAATTACTTTTGCAAGATAGGATACTGACAGAGGTAGCTCGGAACCCGGGGCAAGCAACCGTACTGTCAAGACCCTATTCAGGGGCTCCTTTCTACATACCCGTTACAATTACCCAGGAACAATGAGGAAATCAATCTTTCGGCGTCTAGCACTATGAAGCGTGAAAAGTTTGGCAGTTTTCGGTAGCTTGGGCTAGGTCCATTGGCAGACAGTCTGGTCTTCCAGGTAGAAAATCTAATGGTCCGCACGGAGCTCTCAGCGGGCGCTGTCCACTCGGTACGCAGGCGGCTAGGCTCGGGCCCTCCCGGCACCCTCCGTAGTCTGCCAGGCCCACACACCGCCCAGCCACCTAACACAGTGGAAATGGTTTACAAGGGGTGACTCGACTATCTGCTTCAATGCGGGCGCTTCTCCAGGTTCTCGCTGTTAGCAACGGAGGCGTCTTTGCCGGGGATTGCTGCCGTCGGAGCCTAGATGGGTCCCGAGTGAAAGGGCTTAGGACTTGGGAGTTGGGTCGGAAGTTGGGTCGCGCTGTGGCAACCGAGCTGGAGGACAAGCTGTCCAGTTACACTATTATAAGTTTCAACATGTTGAATCTGGTATTAATGAGGGTGCTGTTTGGTCGACGGACGGACTTGGACTGTGTGGTGTGTTAGGTACCTCAGTCATTCACGTGACTGGAAGAGTGGCTGGTGTTCTGACCCCCGTCATCACGGGCCCGTGGCCCCGTGAAGGGAGGAATATGGGGCAGTGGCTGTGGGAGTGGAAAGGGCATTGCTCAGGCAGCTTGGAAAGGACAAAATGCCTTGCCTTGACTAAAGCACGATTATCTACGGAGCGATTACGGAATCCAGGAGCACTTCCCGCCCGTCATTCTTTAGTGCGACTGGATAATGACTAAGATGTTCTGTATTAGGGAACTAGCCGTGAGGTTATAACGGGGATAGCCAGAACAAAGGGCCCCGACCGTGCAAAGACCCCAAGCTCTAACCGTCCAGGGATAGGGCTACTAAGGATTTAAAAATTTTCACGATGCCCTCATTTAGGCAAGCGGGTCTTGTTCGTGTCAGACACGCTACCTAGATAAGGGACTCGGAACCCCACGATCTTTTTCCTTCTTCATCAAGGTAGTAACACGTACCCTGGGTTGTCTCACTACCCATACGTGTGTCTAAAATCATGAGGCATACAAACTCATCCGCAATTTGATATTTCTCTTCGAACCAGCACTCCCCTCTCCCCTGTGCATCTCACTGTGCATGTTGTATCATTGAGCAGCACAACACTCGTTCGCAGCCTCCGCGTAGTGAGGCAAGTCGCGTCCCATGGGACCCGCTGCGCATCCGCTGCCGCCGTCGAGCAGTCTTCCGCCTTTGCGCACCTTGGCCCAGCTTACTGAAGCCGAGATCGCCGCCGCTCTACAGAACCTGTCCATCATCTACTGCCCCTTGGCCGTCTCCGTCGCCTTTCAGCTTACCCCCGAAACACAAAAGTTCGCTCACCATGACTCATCTCTCGCCGACTCTGGCTACGTGTCAGAGACAGACGATGACCATGAGGAGATTGACGGCCTCGACCATCACGTTGCCGCTCTCAAGGTCGACATCTTTGAGCGCAATTGCGCCGAGCGCTGGTTGACTGGCTTTATTGCCAGAGCCGAGGCTCTATCTTGCTTCGAATCCGAGGATGCCTGTCAGCACGCACTGGACCAGGCTTCTTGCGTCCTCGAATCTTTCTTCGCCGCCCCACCAGACGACGATGCCTCGGCCGAAAAGGATCAGGATTACACGCGCGATTTCTCGTTCCAACTCTCGCTCCTCGGGCCACCATCAGCGAGTGTTCCCGTCACCGTCCGACTCAATGATAGGTTGGCAGGCACAAACTCGGCTGACCCTGACGATGTCGGTCTCCAGAGCTGGGGCGCCTCCATCGTCCTGTCGGAAATCATGTGTGCTTCGCCGGAGCGCTTTGGTCTTTCTCAACCTCGACTAAGTGTTTCGCCACGCATCATTGAGCTCGGCGCCGGCACGGGGCTTGTGAGTCTCATGCTCGGCAAAATGCTGCCTCACTTGGGAGCACCTAGTCCAACCATCGTCGCTACTGATTACCACCCGGCCGTGCTTGAGAATCTGCGGGCCAATGTCGCCCTCAACTTCCCAACCGCCCAGCCGACCCACGTGGTGCAAACCGCCACTCTCGACTGGGCAGCGCCTGTCCTAGATGCACCTCTCCATGTTCCCGCCGATATCATCATCGCGACCGACGTCATCTACGCACCGGAGCATGCCCTCTGGCTACGTGACTGCGCGACTTGCTTGCTCGCAGATTCCGGTGTGTTCTGGCTCCTGGTCACAGTGCGGCGCAACGGCCGCTTCAACGGCGTTAGTGACAGCGTCGAGTCCGCTTTCACGGCTAGCGACAGTCCCAACCGGTCAGACGGCAAGAGACTGGCCATCCTAGAATCAGAGGAACTGCAGAAACGGAGCGGAGTCGGACGAGGAGACGAGAGTGGCTACAAGCTTCTCCGGATTGGATGGGCCTGATCGATTATACGGATCGTCTTAGGGCGTTGAGATGAGACACACGAATTCTTCACGAATAGACTAAGGATACTACATAGATGATAGACGGACTGGACGACACGGGCCTTATAGACATCAATTACACAGATAGCGCAACTACACCAGCATTCAAAGGGCGGATAGAGTATAGATCATTAGAGCGGCAAATCACTATTTACGTGCGTACAGGTTACTGAAGTAAGGTATTGTGAGTGGCAGTTCCATGAGACGGGGCCATGACCAAGTTGGCTGCATACAACAAGATGCGATTCACACACGGCAGAGATTTGGCAGAACGCTTCTTTCACGCGGAAGTGGTGATAGACAAATACCATCGAATAGGTATCGAGCATAAACCGTGCCAAGACAGCCGCAGCTCGCTGACTGCCTAAAGTTGGGACACCCAATTTCGGTATTACATAGTGATTACGAGGCCACTTAGGCTTGCTCGATTCCACGGATCATCTCAATCTCAATCGCATGCAGTTGCCAATGATGCCTCTAGTCGAGATTGTTCTCCTCCTGGGGCTGGTGCCGCGGTGCGGGATTTGGCCCCTGAACACATCGTCACACCGGTGCCTTACGGCGAGCCAACCCTCCGGGCCTATGCCGAACCAAATAAATTCCAGACCATCCAACAAAAAGGAACCTGCCAAGGGATCTTATCCGTAGACGGAGTAGGGTACTGCTATTTAGGTACAGATACATCGCTGCGGACTGGGAAGGGAAATTCGTAGGGCACCCGGAGACGTCGGGTGAGGTGCCAGCCATAGGGGTCCACATCGGAGTCGGGGCCCCGGGCCCAGAAAAAAACATTGACGCAGTACTACCCGACGCGAACGCGTCACACACGCGATCGACTCATTGGCAGTGCAACTTTCCCGCAGCATCCTGCTTGTCCTCCCATCACGACTCAATCGTGTGCTTGCCTTTGCCGCCCATACCAGCATACAGATTCTTCTTCGCCCGTAGTCATGCCTCGAGGTAGACCCTCGTCTAAGCTTACGAAGCAAGGTAAGAAGAATTTCCATCCGCCAAAGCATATTCTCTACCTAGCTCTGTCCTGTCTCTCCATGCGTTCCCAATCCCATCCTAATGCGCCCTCATTGACGCTTAAAAACTTTGGTAGACCTTCCCTATGATGCGATCAGTAAAATCGTGACGCACACCCTCGACCCCGATACCGCGCTCGTGTCCCTCACTGTTCTCGCCAAAGGCTCCCGTCTAGACGTTTCCGAATGGGATGTCCAGGAGCATCGACCGACTTTACTGTACGACTACTGGACCAGTTTCCGTGGCAAGACGCGCCAAGACATTCTAGGAATCGGAGAGCTTTACCACCCCTTCCGTCTGTTACGTCACCGTCGTGTTCGGGGGCAGTGGCAAGTACTGGTGCAATGGCTTGGATACACAAACGAAGGGGAGGATGTATCTTGGGAGCCAGTCGTGAAAATGCGCGCCGATGCGCCGGATGTGTTGACAGACTACTGCGGCTACGTAAACGATGAGAGTGTGAATGCTGCCCTCCTTGGACCCATGGCACGTGGAGATGCAAATAGCGAGGTAGAGGCCCTATCAAATGAGACCAAGCCTCAAGTCACAACTCCTGCGGCCGCACGACAATCGGCAAAGAGGAAGAGGGACAGCCTAGTCGAGCAGCCTGAGATTCCCAGCGAAAAACGGCGACGCTGTAAGTTCCTCTTGATCGCAACGAGCCACGGTTCATCAAACCTTGGCTGACTCAAAGCGTAGCATCCAGACACGATTCAACACCAGCCACAAAGGTTCCCTTGCCCAGATCCTCGACCTCGACATCCAAGCGCAGACAATCGCAAGTCCCTCAAGACGTCTTCCAGTCGCAGACAACTCCCAGATCAACCGTTTCGACCCGAAAGCAATCCATGCTACCGACAGACGATACCAAGCATGCCGGAGCGTCTCCCGCACCATCACAACCCCTGGCCCGGCGAAAGAGCACGCGAGCAGCCTCCGTTGAGCCCGCAGCATCTGTTGACACTGAGCGCCTCAACCCTGCGGACGTTCCCCGCACCATGCTGTGGTTCATGGACGACTTCACTGTGGGCGACATGCAGAAGGTCTGCCGCTTCATCGACGAGCACTGCACAGGTAAACTGCGTCTACCTCTGTACAGCGGTGGTGACTGGGACGGGAAGGCTGCTAGCGGTAGATGGGAGGATGTTTTCATGGTAAGCCCGCTTGGGAGGCTGGGCAGGTATGATAATGAGGACGAGAAGGAGGAGTGATCACAATCACCTTCTGGTAGTGCGTGCAAAAGACAAGCAGTTTTCCGGCGTTTTCCAGCGGCTGGGCAGGCCCTCCATCATTGTGGTTTAGGGGGGGGGGGAAGCACTCACATGTCGAGCTTGTCGGGGCCGCTTCATCCACCTTCAAGGAAAATATGAAAATATGTCCATCTACCTAGCAAGTTCGGCACCATAGCAAAGGACAAGCTAGCCTTTCCATGACTCATGACGAATTTTCTGCCAACTTCCCTTTCTATCCTCATCGACAACTTGTTGTGCAATCACTCGTCATGCCACTGGCGTCAACGACGACAAAGTAGTCGGGCATCCTGTTCACGGCAAACAGAAGGATGAGTGGTTCACCAAACACGGCCGTCCAGGTTTCTGTTTGCGGATTGAGGATTGGTCGGTGGGCGCTAAAGGCCTAGCAAACCTCCCAACTCTTTTGGGAACACCGTCAGCATTTCATGCCGGCATTCACGCGTCGCTTCATCCCCCCTCCCCGGTAGCTAACGGCACTGTCAGAAGTCCTCCACCGACGACAGCAATCGGCAGGATGGCATCAACCACATAATTGCGCCACCGTGCCAACTGGGACAAAGCGACACTCTCTGAAGGTATGCATCAGCCTTTCCAGCTCAACGGGCGGTTGGAGGAAATCTTCTCCACAAGGCTAGCGCTTGTTTGCCAACCGACCTTCACCGCCGCATTACCTCATTACTTGGCACATCAAAGGTGATCTATGTTTTGCAGAGGATGCATCCTTGGCTGGCCTCTTGATTCTGGGAATCATTTTCTCACAACACCCAGATGATACATAAGTAGTTTGCTACATCAATTGCCTTTGCTTCCTTGACAATTCTTTGCCGCCTTGAGGCGCGTACCGAACAGCCCGCCTTTACTTCCACCCGAATTCGCGAACTTTGAGTGAAAGGCCGCACCTGTCACATGAACAGCTTTCCACTCCAGTGAGAGACTGAGTCTATACACCAGGCACACCTCCAGAATGAGGTAGAGTAATTGACTACATGCTAGGGGACGGCTAGTTACCAAGGCTAAAGCAGAAGTATATTTAACAATAGGTTCATATCTCGGCATTTTGGAGGGGGGGGTTTCAAGGACTATGTCCATATTGCGCAGTCCCAAACCACCATCACCTACTTCTGAATTTGTTCTAGTCAATTCACCCGGAATGGCCCACATCAAAAAACTTGCGTTGATTCCAACGGGCGGCACTATCGGCATTTTGGCCGAGGACATTTATAACAACTTCGACTATGGATCTGATGGAAACGGACGTTACGCCACGCTCGAAGAACTGCGCAGCAGAACCGACTTAAGTAAGCTCGAGAAAGCCCTCAAGAAGGAGATCCAAATCGAGCACTTCAAACCCATCGACAGCACCGCGATGACCCCCAAGTTGTGGTTCGACCTGGCCCGAAGATGTGATGACCTCAGCCAGGCCTCGGAAATTGATGGAATCGTCATCAGTCATGGAACAGCAACTATGGAAGAGACTGCGTTCGCTCTGTCTTTGGTTATGCGACTGAGGGTGCCAGTTATCATTACGGGTTCCATGCGCCCATTGAATGGGATGTCTTCCGATGCAATGGCCAACCTCACCGCCGCATTCCACGTAGCAGCCCACAAGTATAAGGAGGAACAGCCAGGTGTTTTGGTGGTCATCAACAACGAAATACACCTCTCGATACACGTCAAAAAGACTCATGTCTCGACGCTCAACACTTTCAAATCGCCGAACTTCGCCCCTATCGGCCAAGTCGGATGTGATGGAGTTAGGTTTCTCCAGGAACCGAAGTGGAGTTACGACTCTGAATTTGATCGCAAAGCTCTGTTAATATTCCCACGCGTTGATATTTTGACCAGCTACTGTGGCGCCGACGAAACGCTGATCGACTTTTTAGTCGGGTCTGGAGCGAAGGGGATCGTGTTGGAAGGGTTTCCGCCTGGGTTGGGAACCCCGCAGCAGACAAAGGGCCTTGTAAATGCAATTTCGAAGGACGTAATTGTTGTTCAGGCAGCCTCTGCTGATGGCGAGGTTATCAATAGCGCTGACCATCAAAAGTTGGACATCATTGCTGCGGGTTTCCTTACCTCCAAGCGGGCCAGGATTCTATTAGGCTTCTGTCTTGCTAACAGATTTGCCAAAGAGGACATTGCGGCGATTTTCAAAAAGTTTCAATAGCATTTTAGTAGGTTTGTATTTTCCAGGGGGCCGGCTCATGATAATGGGACGAAGTCTGCGTACGAGGTTTTCTCCAGATCACAGACTCGTGCTCGGCGAGATTCCTCGCAATCCCACAGTAGTTAGTTTTTGAGATTCTAGATATATGCAATATAAGTAGCAACAAAATCATATCAAATCTATCAAAAGCAAAGACCCAAGGGCATGCTACTTTCACTTGGGTATTTCGGCATTAACATGGCTTTGATCGATATTGAATTGCTTCAGCCTGCCCGCAGTACGTAGACCTTGATTCAACCCCCGAAGATAACAAACTCGTAATTTCCTTTCTACCTTGGTCCTCCATGCATCGGATCTACTGTCAAATGATCTAAAAAGGTAGTTCACAGCCTGAGTGAGACTTCAGGAATGCCAATGATTCCTCCGGCAGAACACTCGTCGCTGCTTGCCACCCCATCAGACTGCACCCGATGAAATCATGATATCTGACACAAGCTTTCTGTGTGCAATCCTGGTCTCATCCCTGGAATAGATATTCCGCTCAGATGAGTAGAAGACCATTTGGGCCCCCTTTCCGAAGCTTTCTTTGAGCGCTGATCTCGGTTCATCTGAAATACTACGCATCCCTTAATACCATGTGTCACAATCATGTCCTTCGAAACACACTTTCCTCTCACGACCTGGGCTATCTCTTAAAACTGTGCTACGAAACCAAGGCGGCAATTATCACGTTCATGCGTGATACTGACAAGGTGAACAGCACACAGTCACGCACACGTACCCGCCCATCAAACCTGAGATGGCATTGTTCTCAGCGGCTCGGCCTCAAACCCCGTCGCCTCCCTTGCCCATTGCCCAGTGCAAGCATACCTATGCAGGCAACGCTTCACCGTAATTACTTAAAGTCTTCAAAATCAAGGACTAGTCGTCTTTCTTGGCTACTAATACCGGGTAGTTTTACTCACATATCAGACTTTTCTCGGCTTACATCGGCGGTCAAGGAGTTATCTACTCCCGGGCTTTCGCCTCCTCTTCAGGATTAATATGTTGCCAGCAACCCGGATGATGAAGACTACGGCTTTGTCAGTGGGCTGATTCTGCAATCGATCAGACGCCCTGCCTTTGCTAAGGCGCATCCCCCATGCCCGCACGCGAGTCGCCGGTTGTACATCTAAGTCCATGACAGTATTAGAATATTAATAGTAAATAAGAGGGACTTGAGACGTGGTCTGGACTATTAGCAGCGGCGTTCCTAGTAAGTAAGGCCGTTTTGATTTTAAATTTATAAACCGTTTATCATAGCTAGCTATTCGTAATAAAATATACCATTAAAGATTAAGGGTATATTGCGTATATCATGTAATTCAACTATGTACTATATCATATCGTTACTCTTAAAAGCTAATCTTCTTGAAGTTAATCTTTTATGTTTTATAAAGCTATGAAAAAAAAACACTATGTATTATAAATCACATTTTGAAAGCCGCTTTAGAAGAACAAATTTGAAATCTTATTAGTAAATTATATAAATAACACATTTATACTTGATAATATAATCTAGAGTAGATAATACAGAACTTTACTACCTACTATGTATACCAAGCATTTCTTAGTACCCATTCGTAGTTGGGGTATTAATTACTCCTGGCCTTTCGCCTCCTCCTCAGAGTTAATGTATTCCGGCTTTCCGGTTCTCAATTCCCGTCGGATAAGCTCAATCTCGATGACTATACGGCTTTCCCAATCCACTTTCTGCCGAAGGCCGTCACCATCACAATCAAAATATAATCCCCAAGTGCCACTATCTTCTAAGACTGCGCAGAAGCCTTCCCATCCACAAAATGTGAGCCTTCGGTCTTGTCGAGTGCATTCCCATGGCCCAGTCACATTATCATCGGCCATGGCACGGTTACCAAAGCGGACTTGATAAGTGACGGGGTCAATGAATACCCAATTCATGATGGGTGCCTCGTGAGTAATGGTGCTCACCAGTCCGGAGAAGCATGAGTCCGGGTATGGAAGATAGTAACCTTCAAATGGGTGACCGAAAGGGACATCATGAGCTGTGCCGGTGTCGACAAATAGCTGCTCCATTATTAACGGGCTCTGAACCTCAAGATGATGGCAAAAGCTTACTCTATCGCCAGATAAGACCACTTGGCGTCCTTCAAGGTAAAGACTGAACTGTGACGACTTGGGACAGTGCACTACGAGATTGTTTTTCCGACTCCGGTGCTCCTCCCGACGAGATCTGGCCATGGAAGCCTTAATACCTTCCGAAGCGCCCACAGCAGTGGCGAAGCTGATGAGTAATGAGAGAGCCATCTTCCCGCCCACCTAGTAAGGCTTTGTGGATGAGATAACGCTACTCGAAGCTCAGTAGAAAGTCGAGAATTTCTTTTTGCAATAGGATGCCTAAGTCCTTGTACTTAGGACGTGAAGGATATCGTCGTACGTCTTTTGCCTTCTCCTATCGATTCGTGTCTCTCACGCCAATGAACGGATAATAGTGCAATCGAACTGCTTCTCATTTCAAGCTGTTAAGAACAACGTGGTAGTGAAGGTCTCGGAAAATCATTCGATTCAACCCCATAAGTCAGAATAATGCTTGGAGTGTTTCAGACTTCGAAACCTCGAAAGATCAGAAGAGACGTCAGAAAAAGGATTGAGGATCATCGGCTGATGCATGTGGAGCTTCCTTGCAGCCTCTGACAGAAGATGGCATTCTATGGTCTTAGTTATTAGAGGCACCGAGGCGCAGAGAAGAGATGTCAGATAAAATTTCCATATTGTAGATCTTCAATGGTGCCTGGTGGTCCCTGATTGATGTTGTTCAAACTCTCCGGCACAAGGGTCCTTGCCAGGGTCTGGTAGCTGCAGGACCCTTGTCAAAGCTCCCACGAAGGCGTCCTGAGACACAGGCGAGCCCCAATGTAACCCACAAACGTTCTCTCGACTCACCCACATCGTACCATGCGAACCATTTTTCAGATGTTCTGGAAACACAGGCACAATTCCGCATGAGCGAGCAGTGCTGACCGACGCGTTCTAGCCAAGACTGACAAAACACGACGCAAAATACAATCCGAGCGGCTGGTTTCAACATCAGACGATGTCAGTTTGCTCCCAAGATTAACGCTGCCTCGGTAGCAAATATGATCCAAGACGCATAGACGGAGAAGGAGGATAGCATCGAATAACTATACCGGGTTCTGTCAGCCGAGTTCGGGATCGAAGCTTAAAGCTCACCATGCTCCCCCTCCAAGATGGCCAACAAAGCCACATCTCAATCCAAATCACAGAGCACCACGGCAAATACTGAAAAAACGTCAGCGGGAACAGGTTCCCCAATTGCAACAATATCAACAAGGTTTGAGGCCCAACAGCAGCAACCGCCACCTGTGCCACGAAGGCCAAGTCACGCTGCGCGATCCTCAAGCACCTCCTCAAAGCGCGTTTCTGCTTCCGCGGTCCCAGTAGAACCCCCGGTTAAGCCATCTGAAGATTTTTCTGCTGTGCCAGGAGCCCTCAGAAGATCCCTTTCTTTCAAGATTCCCATTCGAGTCGCAACAGACAACCTTTCACCCGCCAGCCGCTCCCGCGCCCAGTCACTACCACAGGAACATCAATCTGACAATCCCGGCCATCAACGCCATAACCCAAAACGAGGCTCTCTTTCATCGATAGGAGAGAAACCGACCGCAGAGGCTGCGAAAGAACTCCAAGCCACCAGCCCAACCCTTTCGATCAAATCACTTTCAGAGCAGTTTCTCAAAGAACGTGGACTACTCAACCCCGAACCAGTAGACGAAACAAGCTCACCCGAGGAGCTTCAGCATTCATTGCAAGATCAAGTTGTCAGATATCTCACCACAATGTCTTCCCCGTAAGCTCTCATACCAGCCTCTTCTTGTTGTCTTTTGATGTCTAATATTCACTATCATCTAGAGCAAAGACAACCGCAGAGGAGCAGTCTCGTGCGCCTGCCTATCCCACATCATACCCACCAACCAACACAGGAATGAGGGGAAATATGCCCGCACCAGGCCTCCCTGTCCCTATGCCCAACCTTTCTGGCACCGCAAATGGCCCTGTTGGTACGTTGATGATTTCTTTGCCCTACTCAAACTTTCCTCATTGCTGATATCACTTCAGGTAACCTACTCAGGGGCCCTGTCGATGAGAACGGGAAGTTGACCAAAGCTGCTCTGATGGTTGGCATCAAATTGGATCTGGAAGCCGAGGTTCACTTGACTGCCCGCGTCCGTGGTGACATCCTTGTTGGTTTGTACTAAGATACCCGTGATCTACGACGGGATGAGCCTGCAAGGAAATCATGAAGGATGCACGTATCCAGCTACGAGGAGCTTGTTCGTCAATGGCACACAGCGACACTACATTACGCTTTGAACAGGTTGTCTTGCGTCATGAGTTGATAAGGTGCCATGAGTAAATACAGCACAGAATTGGAGACGGGCTGTGAAGCAGGAAACTGGAATTAAATCATTTTTGTTCCTACAGAACAGATTGTTTATATAAGGTTGACAGGAGGTCAATATTTTCGAGCGATAAGTAACAAGCTTTTAGCGGTATTCAAGAAAAAGGGCTGAATTGACTGAATATTGAGCAACTGGATCGATAATGTCAAGATTGAACATTTAGGAAGGCATAACCCCATATACTGTCTTCAATAACCTTACTTTGCATCATGCCACAAATTCCATAGGGCCTGGGCGCATAAGAGAAACCACCTGAGCGCCTTGACCAAATTCGTAAGCTTTGCCGAAGGCTCAACGATTCCGTCCAACATCGTTACCATACTTTACTCGTGTCACAAAAGTTCGTTTCAATCAACTTATCATCCGCTCCAAAGAGGGTGACTAGAATTATAGATTGGCCATTCGTTGCTACCTTCAAAGCACAAAAGAGTAGCACCACATGTATTGACTATTCGTGCTTCGGAGTATCCACCATGATCTGCCGTTCTTTCGCCCAGTCAACAATGCGATTATATTTAGGGCACCTATGCTGGGAGTTGAAGTCTGGCTGGATGCCTCGAGAGCCATTCGTGTGTAAGAACGGGGTAACATCGGCCGAGCATTGTAGCCGTATACGCAATGCCTCAATGCAATGATCAACATGCTATATAGATCAGCTTCGAGAGAAAACCAGGACATTGATGTGATTCAATCAAGTACGGTAATTCAATGCAAACTTTTGGTCGATATTATGGACCCGGGGAAGGCTTACGGCGAGCACAAGATCCTCTCCACCGTGAAATGCCGGGTCATCGCTATAATCGAAGTCGGTTCTGTGCACAAACTGACGTACGAGGTTCAAGCAATGGAGGTTGTGGAAAACTTCAAGGCCAGCTAAGAGATAGCCTGGCTTTGTGCGTGCCCAGGAGTCACCATCGACACCATGCGGTGTCTTGTTCAAGGCCGGCAAGTATTCATCTGATAAGTCAAATGATCCGTCTAACAAACCTATATCAGTAGCTGCTATTGTGGGAAAGGGAGGGTCGTTCGTTCAACCTACAGTACCACAGATCCTTCCATCTGGCTTCAAGTTCCGGAGTTGGCCTTCCCTTGTAAGGGCTGGGCTTCCAGAAGGCATTGTCGAACTGGACATCTTCAAATTCTAAAACATCTTGAACGGGTGCTATATATCTCGTGAGTCCTTGATCTCCTCAATCGTCCACAAGAGGTGTGATGATAGACTTTACACAAAACGTTGAGCTTTCTAGCACAGGCCAAGTCCGATGGTCCTGCTGGGTTGAAGTGGAGCCAAGTCGACAGCCCAAGAAGTAGACAGCCAACCCAGAAAAAAGGAAAACGGAGGTTTTTGAATGAAGTTCTGCTTCTTTTGGCGGGCGATTGCATGTTTTCATCGTCCAAGAGGAATACTTCACATTCTTCTTGGAGGTCTCGTCTGTGGCCAGACTGGCCTGGTTCACTGGACATCATTAGCATCGACTTTCTGAGGAGAGCGACAATCAAAGTCCGAAGAAGATTGGAAATATCAAGTTGCAGAGTGCTCTTTTTAGCCCTACGCTTTTCCAAAGTCCGAAGTCGTTTGTTATCTAGTTTCCAATGATACGGGGTAACAGACAAGGGGCTCCTTACAAACATGACTCGCCACCGACAAGGCGGCTTTCGCCGTCTATGAGACAAAGGGAATTCACTGCAATGAAGACATCGTTCAGGACCGAAAGCTGCGCCGGATAGCAACGAGTCAGCTTCTAAGACTGAGTAATCGACCTTCTGCATTCGTCTAGTCAGCCGACTTCAGAAAGCTTGTTTTCTCGATTGATATGACTTTATCTGTTAATATACGCAGCTGACCAGATTTCATTGACTCAGCGTAGCAGCCAACGCGGGCCCCAAAAGCTTGTCTCTCTAATAGGATATGTTCGAAAGAATCGATCTCGACCACCAATCCAACCACCAAGGTCAGCATAGGCCGAGAAACCTAGATCATGCGCAAGCAATGTGTTTCGCTTATGTCTATTCAAGTTGCCGGTTCAGGGCGCTGCACTGCGTCACCTGGGAGTTCTTCGTGCAGCTCAGCCCGACACCGAGTTACATAAGTCGTCAGGCAGCAGAGAAAACGTGGCAAGTCTATTTACTTCTGATACTGGAATAAATCTATTTGCTAGTTGACCACGGTTCAAAACCCTGTGGGCTCCGCAGCAGAAGTTCCAACTCAAGTGGGTTCACCCATGTCGATGGAGGTGAAGCAATCAATCAGTTCACACCATAGTCACAAAGATAACCAAAGAAGTCTCCACAAACAATGATGTGGATGAAGCTTACGCCTTCCCAGGCCCGAGTTAGTCGCAACAAGCTATTGGGCATTGCTTTCATACCACAACTTAGCTCAGTTACTTCAGATAAATGCGCCGAACGCGACAAGTTAAATTCACTGTTTAATCACCTCCTGGGAACGGCTATATAAGAAGAATACGTTTTCTCTCACGGAAGATCTCTGCAAAACATCAACTTCAGTTCCTTTCTAAAACACAGACAAGATGAGAATCGCCAATATTCTGCTCCTGGGGGGAGCATCTTTGATTGTTGCCGCCCCTGCCGGCATTGTGAATGAAGGAAAACGCGAAGCCAGCATTTCTTTCCTCGAGTCTACACATTACAAGAAGTCTCCCGACGCCGAGGCAGAAGCGGCGCCTGCTATCGAGTTCCTTGACTCCGTTCACTACAAGAGAACCCCCGAAGCCGAGGCTGCGGCCAAACCTGCAATCAATTTTTTGGAGTCTGTCCATTACAAGAAAGGGGCAGAGCCTGCAGCTGAGCCTGCGATCGAGTTTTTGGATTCTGTCCATTACTAGGCGTCAAGAGACCAGTGGCGTACCAAGCCCGTTTGATGGAGAGTAGGTGAGTCGGATCATCTTTGCAATCTGATTCCATGAAATATCGGCTAATTAGTTCTTAGATGAATTTGTGAACCTGTACTCAAAGGTCGAACATCATTAGGAAGGGTTGTCAAATGATATTTATCTAGGTCGCCTCTGCCTGGTGAGCTTCAGGTGGAAAGAGTCGTTCGGCCCGTCACCCATGGCCAGGAGATCGCGACGTTACACTGCATCATAAGTACCTTAGTCGGAATTTTACGAGTGTACTCAAGGCCTTGCGTTCATCGTCGGCGATTTGATTACTTCTTCAAGGGCGAGATCCTGCTCGCTCGGCTAAAGTGATGACCATTGTTTGAGTTATTACGTCGTTCCCTGCAGCTGTACCCTGCAGCTTGCTGACCTGCTTCAAGCTAGTTAGGCCGAGATATGGCACTACATAGAAAAGGACTAAGAGAAAAAATACCTAAAAACAATCGTTTCTTCGCGTTAGGAATCTACATGTAGATACGCAGACTGCGTTTCTTTGTATCGCGACGACGCTCGGGGCATTCCATTTGCTGACATCTGGTGCCACCTGCTTCCAAGGAAGCCTGTAACATATCCTTCAGTTACCCATATGCCTCTTGCGACAGCGGAAAGTTGTAATGCTGATGGCTCTTTAGGATTGACGAGGCAATGTGTTTCGAAATAGGACCCCTACGAGCCGCAAATTGAGTGACTCTGCCACAAATGGGGAAGTTGCCTTTCATTGAGGTTGCCGGGCAGGCGATCGAATCCTCGTCTTCCCATCTTCTCGCCATCGTCACTGCACAGGAAAGCGGTTTGTGACCACATGAGGTTGAAGTTACGTATGCACTCACGAACTGTAGCTTCTGAACATGAAATTGTAGTGGATTTAGACATTGAATTATATTGTATTCTCATAACTTGCATCTTGATGCTCTGCCGTAACGTGCTGAAATGACCCGATTAAGGCAAGTTTTGGGGAGCGTAGCTTTGGTCGGGGTTTACCACCTGGCCGTTGACCAGCTGCTTGTCGGTGTAAGCGGGCCAAACAATAAGCTTCTGGTCCGTGACAGAGAAGGTGGTGAATCCCGCATCCGGGCCGAACTGTCCGCTCCAGCCGGAGGTAACAGTGAAAGCTCCGCATTTGGCGTTTGAGGCAGCACGGCTTGCAGGTGCGCCGGTAGTTGTGAACTTGCAGGAGGTGGGGTCTGCAGTGTGGGTGTTGATATTGAAGCTGTAGTCGCATGAGGTATCCTCGGCATTGCAGGTACGGGTGAAGGTTTCAATGGTCCATTCAGCGGCACCAGCAGCCATCATAGACTTGACCTCACGCTTCGTGATGGGGGAGCCGGAGACTGCAGTGCCAGCAGCCATGGCGGCGAGGAGATAGTTGGTGATCTGCATTATGACAAGGTCTTGAGGAAAGGATTCAGATTGTATATGAAGTTGAGAGGAGAATGGTTGTTTTTGTCTGGATGATTATGCTTTTTCTTGTGGTGTATAGCGTCGAGTTTTGAATTCATTCGAGGTGATGGCGGACGGAGAAATTTATACTACTAGTAGTCAAGAGTCAAGGATACATCACTGGAGGCCACATACATACCAACAAAGGTGGCAAGCCAATGGTAGGTCAACAAGTTCCTGGATTCTCGAACGATTCAGAAAGTGACGTTGCCATCGTATTTCCTCTCAAGGTGCCGATCTCTCGCTTAGTTCCCCGTCACTCCCTTCAATCCCTCGTTCCATGATCCATCATGACAACATATTAGTGCGGATGTGAACCCGCAATGTGACATAGCCCATCCAAGAGGTTCATATGCGATCACAAGAACCTGCCATCCGGCCACTTTGATTGCTTAATTGCTTACTCCGTATACACTCCCAATTTAGCGGTCTAGCAGGCTCAATCCATCTGTCATACATAGTTTAGAAGCATTCGCATGCGCTTGATAGTCCTGCCGTAAGCTCCTATTCGTTGGGATGATGACTTATGAGACCACTGCACAATAAATCCCCCAATCCATCGAGGCAAGAGGCTCGTATTTAGGGTCGCATGCGGTCTCACTTCTGGGGCAGTGGGCTTGGACTCCAGGCGCATGACGCAGGTTATGTAACCTCGAAATCAATACGAGCGTTACCTGCCGTGGCTAATTAACCTAAACAAGGCACGACTCCACGTTCTAATCTGCTTTCGGGACTCCGATTGCCCCGAGACTTCATCGCCCCAGAAGCGTGCCTCCCCCGCTGATCTACCTTTATTTCGATTGATCATTCCTAGTGCTCCCAAGATCCTATGTTTAGCCACTGTGATGCTCGGCGGATGCCCCCTAGCTCTGACCAACAGTAAAATTGATGATGCCCGACAGATTCGGAACTCTCCACAACCCTCGTACTTAACTGCTCAGAACTTCTCCCTGCAGTCACCGACCACCGAGATGAAGTGCGCGCAGTGTTTGCAAGACTGGCTCTGTCGATCACTACTGCGTACTGCATGCCGAAGGCTTTGCAATTAGGCGGGCAGATCTTAGTCTTATTGATCTGCGTGAGCTGAGGTATGAGCCCTCCCTCGCAAGATCCTCGCATCAGGACTGCACAACTGCAACATCGCTCATCCACAGGAGTGAGTGTGAGCATGAAAATCGTAGCGGTAACATTTTAAGCATATTGTGTGCAAATAGTCCGACTGATCGTTGCAATGACTACAGGTACCGGCGCCGAAATTTCATGCCCACGATCACAGACGATCGACAAGTGCTTACCTAGCTGATGTCTGTTTAGCCAAGACACCACGATGCCGATAACGCCGAAGTGGGCCTTGTAGAAAGACCTGACTTCGAATGAAACAGACGTTCGATGTATCTCCGCCCATGTGACTCACGTGAAAGACAGTTTGAATAATATCGATACATGCGACAAAGCGCTGTGGCTGGGCAATTTATGAGCCTCTCGGCATGGGCATGTGCTTCATTTTCAAAGGTCTTTCGTTATGTTCAAGGGCTCCCAGCTCCCTGAAGATCCAAGCAAATGAAAGCGAGCCTTGTGTTATTTCCTCCAAAGCGAGGAGGAATCGATGTTTCGGCCACGCAATTACGATGCCACATCAAATCCGCAGGAGTTTCCAGTTTTAATTCAGAAGAGTAGACAAAGCTGAAAATAATATATGCTGTTGACTACGTGGACAAAATGAATCGCCAGCGGGCAACTATCATTCACGTGAAGCAAAGTTTCTCCAAAACCCCAGAAACCCTCAACTTTGAGTTTGCACATAGGACATATCTGTTCTCCTTATGCTGCGTGGGTCTAGATGAGATGGTAATCTACGCCGGCCTTGCCTGTAAACTTGTAATCTTGATGAGCGGTGCTAATCTATCCGTAGACTTATGACGTAGGACTTTTCTACTTGCGAAATCAGAGCCATCTTAAATTGTCAACCTAGCAAACTTGTGCTCGTGGACTTTTCGCTACGTCACTCTAGGGTTTGGGTTAGATAAGTAGCAAACCCAGCCTTGAGCGTTGTAAAATCCAGAAACTGATAGAGAAGTTTTTTTTTTTTTTTTTGAAGACTTCTAGCGATAAATTAACGAAGATGGGATAGTTACGACGCATTATACCTTGTGAGTTTGCAAAGTAGTACGCGGTAAGCTGTTTTTGTGTTTTTCTGCTATTTTATAGGTATATAACGCTTCCAAGTTTTACCTGTATATGATCCTATGTAGTACGGTATAAAGTTTACTTGGAGCCTCGCGTCGGATTGACCATATGTATGGGCCCCTATCATATTAGAAAGAAAGACTCACTTTGCGTTACTTATACGTAATGTGTATAGCTGGTAGTCGGAAGTCATTACTCGCGACTCCCTTGTCTCATGTGACTGAAAAATCTTGAAGGTAAATGATGCTACTAGTAATAATCATCTCCCCATTAATACCACAATACATAATACGAATGGTGTTGGTGGGTGAACCGCCGAGTCGTGACAATACATGCCTGAGTATTTCGTTGACCCATGTTCGAAACAGTAAAGTCTCAAGCTAGACTTAGTCTTACGGACGATACAAGATAGCCCCGTTGTCAGAAACTGCAGTTCCTAATCTCATCATTATACCAGCACTTACCTTACAATACCTAGATAATCAACGTAAACATTCCAATAGAGAATTCCACGGACTTAATCTATTCGCTTCCAACTTAAGTCTCGAATCTAACTGGTTGGTGTTTTCGAGGTGTCCGATTGCTTCCATCCGACCTCCTAATGATCACTATCATTCTGCAATACATAGACCATTATACCTTATTGATATATGTTTCTAGATTATCTTCACGGCGCTAGACCGCGTCAGTAGACGTCTTTTTGTGTAGCTCGAGTCTTTTTCTTGAACCAACTGAATGAACCTATGAAAAAGGCTAAACAAAGCTGAAAGCTCTTTTAAGGTGATTATACAATGTCAAGTAATTATAAAATTAATGGCAGCGATAGTCCTGGAACATAGTACAGTGGGCGGTCCTTGAATATCCTGTCTACTGCACCCATCATGTCAATCAACCCCGGCCTCCATGTCTTAGATGGACGGACGAAGAGCGACAGGCAAATTCACTGCACAAGCCCGTGTCGAAAGAGGTAAAATTTCGGAAGTGCCACCTTAGGCGAGCAATTTCTTCCTGTCCACGTCCTATTATCATAAGCACGTTAAAATACTGCGATCTCAATACCTCGAGCCTTGGCAGCTTCCTCTATGTTGAATGTATCAGTCTCCTCCCTCCATGCTTCTTCGAGGACCTCGTCAACCATGTTTATGAGACGAAATGAGTCTTTCCTCAAAAACGATGACCGTACATCGTTGAAAACCTGCTTCCACTCTGGATAAGTATTCAGGATAGGTACTTCCAGGCTGCCTATCACTAAAGGGTACATAAGCCCGTTGTGAACTAAAAGATGGTGGTTTGCAGGCATTTCAACTGCCCTGTAGAGTGCGTAAACCGATGCCGTCAAACGACACATGATGACTTCCCTTGACGGAAATGGCGAAAGATCATCTGATTTAGGTCCCAGCCCACCCTCACCATCCGATGGTGCTTTATTCTTTCTGCACCGGTTCAATCGCCTCGTATGCAAGACGGCTGTGTACCGCCAACAGTCCCAAAGCATACATTGGGCGTGCTCACCAATCTCTCCCGGCCAAGACCAGAGCTGGGATTCTATGTCTCTCGCGCTGCTTTCCTTCATATCAGCGAGAATGTCCAGTAGCGATCTGGGCAGTCCCGATACGGTCTCGACTCCACCGAGCCTACCACCTTCCCAGGAATCTTGGACTTTTCGTAAGTTGCGCCAAAGATTCATGCTCGGTGTTATTCGTCCTATCGCCATGATATCCATGTCCATGATAGACAAAACTTCGATGGAGTGCCGGATAGTGAAGTCATGGGAGGCCGAGGGTACCAGATGGCTCAAGTTAGTCTCTAAATGGTACAAGCCGACCATGAGCTGAAGATACATCGTCCAAGGACGAGCTTGAAGCAGCTACGTAAACGTTGCGAGTCAGTAATGGAGACCAGAATAGAGACTCTTGTGCGCGCGAAATATAGAGAGCCGGTTCGCATATAGGGAAGGTGTGCTGATGTATTCAAGACTTACACATAGACTACAGAGAAGCAGACCAGCAGAGACGGTGGATCCATCGAAAGAGCTGTGTCGGCTTTGCAGTTCCGATCGGAAAGTTTGGAGCGCGTGGTCGACGTATTCCATCGACGAGACCGAGAAGCCGTCGTCCAGGTAGGCTTGGATGGCCTCACAAACAATAGCAAATGCTTGGCTTTTCTCTGCCATTGAGGCGAAGTGAGATTTCATCCAACCAGAGCTCTCAGTGGTGTAGAGTCGGTGCATTCCCGCGTTGAGAACTTGTGACATGGTCAGTACTCGAGTATGTGGACAGAGCCAAGCGGCGAATTCCTGACTTACACTTCTGGAAGAGCTGCCGTTTCGGGTCATTAGTGCCGCCCGGCGATGGTGCCAAGGATGAGGTGTCAGAGTGCGATCCCGGTGTGTCTGAGTTCTGAGCGGCCCCGGGCCGAATCGATTTATCGGCTCCGGGAGATGCTGAGGGTGATTCAGCGCGGTGTGGTGGATCTCCAGCGTTCGGCAGATAGCTATCAAAAGTAGCTGAGTTGGCGCTCGCTTTGTTCGCAGCAAGGTCAGGGATCGCGGCCCCAGCAAACCGACCCCGCGAAGCTATTCCGTTGGTCCACTTCAGCGTGGTGTTGTAGCCCTCGCACTGGATGCCACGCCTTTGGCAGGCTCGGCAATCTGGGCGCGTCTCATCGCATTTCCGTTTCCGCCTCTTACAATTGGAGCATCCTCCCCTAGAGCGAACCATTGGTGAACTAGGTGCTGATGGCCGGCGGATGAGGTCGACGAAATCGTTATCTGGTTCGAGCCTTGGAATTGGCTGCTCAGGGGGGTTCTCGAAATGGTCGACCTTCCCGACGATGAATGAAGACACGAGATTTCAGCTTCCCAGGAGAGGCGGACGGGGCCGCGAGCGCATATATATGCCGAATAGGGCATGGCTCAAACGCTCAATTCTGGGGCCCAAGCAATCATGTCGCAGGTTCACAAAATGCGGGGGCGAGGCCGCTAAGACGAATAGAGTTCTTTGTTATCCATGCGGAATGCCCTCGGAAAGAAAGTGACGAGGATCCAGCAGGGATATCGCTTGCCATCACTCGGTATGGCACTGAGCCCTCGTCAGACTTGCTGATTATACCTTACTTACATGGACTGCAATCAAGTCCCCAGCCGTGTTATCATATCGGTACTGGTAGTTCTCGCCATGGTCTTTATCGTCTTCGATTGTGACCAGGGCTCCCGACGATTATTATCCTGATCTAAACACGGTGCTGATGCCTTAGTCTTGTATGGCTGGAAAGGGTTAACCTGGGCGCATGGCTTATCGTAGCACGCGCCAAAATGCAGAGCTGGCACACGACTTTGAGTGGTATCCAAGCCAACATAGAGGTCTCCTGTAAAGTTCAAGTTGCATTCACATTTTGTATAAAATACCGAGCGCCTGCTCGACTCATCACTGTATTCGATTCGAAGTTGACTTTATTCTGGGCTGGTACCTAAACTCGACAACACCTCACAACATCTATTCCACGAGCCCCCTTTTGCTCGTGATATTTTTACCTGTCGCCTCACCGTTTACATAGGGAGTCCACGATGGACAGCCCAACAGCAACAATGGCTCAACACCCACTCCTTCCTCCGGGAACTGTTCACTTGATCAATTGTATGGCTCTCGGCGGAGATTGCGGTGGTATTATGCTGACCTATACATTCTAATTCTAGACGAAGAGGCCACCGAATCCCCAACATTCGTTCTCTCCCCAACCCCGTCGTCAGACCCAAACGACCCACTGGTATGGCTTCTGCTGTCTGCTTCGTAATGTATATCCGCTTAGCCCTCTGTGTGACATAGAACTGGAGTAAATGGAGAAAGTATCTTAACTACAGTCTTGCTATGGGCGTTACCGTGGCTGCTTTCACCAAGTACGTTGAAATGAGATCAGTTTCCGAGTCTATTCCTTAGCTTACGATATGGCTGCTTTCGCCACAGCCTCTCGATCCAGACCGTCTTCTGGCAACAAATGACTGTTGATCTTGATGTGTCTATCAACCAACTCAGTAACGCACAGTCCGCCCAGCTTGCAGGTCTTGCCACAGGCTGCATTTTTTTCATTCCGTTTACCATCAAGTATGGTCGACGCCTGACATACTTGGTTTCTACAGCTATCCTCGCAGCAGCAGCGTGGTGGACTTCCTCGATGCACTCGTACGCAGAACTCCTCGCCACAGCCGTCATCACCGGCCTTAGCGGCGCAATCAACGAGACCGCGGTGCAGATGACTGTAATATCTCTCATGGTGCACTAATTCTATCTCGCATTGTCGCTAATGTTTCTTTCTGCAACAGATTGCCGATATTTTCTTCGTCCACCAGCGAGGCTCTGCCAACGGTCTTTATTTTACTGCCGTAATGGCAGGAAGCTTTTTGACTCCTTTGGCTGCCGGCTCCCAGGCCGTGACTCAGGGGTGGCGCTGGTCATACTACGCCCTCTCTATCTCTCTGACTGTTCTCTTCTTCATGTTCGTGTTCTTGTACGAAGAGACAAAATATGTTCCCGTTACCATCGGCGAAGGCGAGGTCACAGAAAACAACCCACCACACGACAAGAATAACATGGAAAAGGGCGAAAGCTTTGATAAAGGCGGTCTGGAGTTGAACTACGTGCAGTCCAATCCCGCCACAGATGTTCGACCGAATTCTTACCGCGAACGCATGCGGTTGTTGACGCCGACCTCGGAATCCTTACTGCGTATTTTCATCTTACCACTCCATGTCATCACCCTTCCACATGTCATGTTCACTGCTCTTCAGTTTGCATCGGGCGTTTGTTGGCTCGTTCTGTTTATGTCTGTCGTTGTTGTTGTTGTTGTTGTTGTATTTAACGCCGTGGCGGCCGGGCTAGAGCCCTTACCGCAGACCTCCCGAAGGGTATATGGCGTGGAGGGCCGTGAGCCAAGGCTACCTACTCTACAGTACGTCGTCTCTTTACATCGTCCTCCAAATCATGCCTTGTGGCCACTACGCGTTCTGTCTGTCCCCGGTTCCCGCTGGTGCCCCAGTTTCATTCTTTCCCAAATCGTCCCTTGGAATCGGGAGGTTCTTTGTAGTCCGCACTCACATCTACGTAGGTGTGGATGCTGCTACCGCAGACAGATCTTCTGGAAGAAGTCCGTCACGCGGAGAAAGGCCTCGAAGCCTCGTGGGTCGGTGATTAATCTCTTGAAGTAGGCCTCGAGAGATCCCATAGGGCCTATGGGCTCGGGCATACTGCGAGAGTGGAGGGTCGGCCACCGTTGCCTCCTCGCCAGCGTTAGTCGACAGTAGACCAGGTGGTCCACGTCTTTCGCCTCTCCACAAGAGCACATCATTAGAGCGTCGTCGTGGTTGAAACGTCGGTGATATTGCTCGAAGTCCCCGTGACCCGATCGTGCCGCCAGCAGGTGATGTAACGTAGCCCGCGGCAAGGCCAGTTCAGGAGGGCTGGACAGAGCTGCCTCAAGCCCCAAGTCCGCGTACCGCGGCCTTCGCTCTTTATACCACCATCTCCTGTGCTGGCTTTGTAATTTTTCCCTTGCAAGCCGCTTGATGCCCGCTAGTGTTGCCATTTGACCCATCCGCGCCGGCAGTGTCGTTCCTTCTTTGGCCAGCCGGTCCGCGGCCTCGTTTCCTTCGATGCCCTGGTGTCCCGGGGACCAGTGCGTCCGTATATCAAATATCCTGGCCGCTTCTTGGATTTCGAGGAACGCGTCTTGTGACGAGTCCGGCGCCTTGCCGCGGATGCCTTGTATAACGCTGGTGTTGTCGATACATATGTGGATTGGATGACCGCGATTGGTGAGCAGAGCCCTTCTGAGGCCGGTTCGCGCCCCTTCGACCTCGGCGTCGAACACTTCTGCTAGTCCGAGTCGGCCGCACCCTTGTGCTATGCGTTTGGAGTCTCGGTAGATGACGAAGCCGTACCCCACGGCTCCGTTCGTCGCCCTGGAGCCGTCCGAGAAGACGATCATATGGCTTTCCGGTACTGTCTTTAGCCAGCGCTCGAAAGCTTTCGCAGCCTCTTCTTTGCATTGAACTACTATCTGATCCTGTGAGCTTGGCAGGTACTGTGATTGAAGGAACGCTGGTCTTCCGCATCTTGGCAGAAGTTCAGCCGTCCGTTGTAGTCTCGTCTGTTGCTGTCCCTGCTGGGAGAGCCGCGCGACTAGCGGGTGTCGGCGATCAATCCTCTGTAGTCGGACTGCGGCCCGTAAGCGGACGCCCTCTAAGGCGACTTTGGCTGACGGTAAGCCGGCGTCTCGGAGGAGGCTACTGGTTGGCGTTGTCCTCCAGACAGGCAGAACGGCCCTTGCTGCCGCTGTAATGACGCTGTCGATCTTCTGCACGAGCCCCTTTTGGCCTGTGTTGACGGGTCTTCCTTGGAGAGGCGGATTCGTGTCTGTCTCCGCTTGGCGTCTCGAAGCCGGCTTCGTGATACCTGCGTACCATGTTTCGGCGCCGAAGAGCGCGATCGGCAGTACGCAGGAGACGACGGCTTTTCGCACGGCGGCCGCTGGGAGTCCCCTCTTTGTGTTCGTAAGCTGTCTCAGATGTTGAGCTGCCCTCTTTGCTGCAGCTACTTTTGCGTCGACATGGTGCCGGAAGGACAGTCTCTTGTCGAACCAGACACCCAGCCAGCGTACAGGTTTCGTCGAGGCCTTGACCACCAAATCCCCCGCCCGGACCTCTGGCAGCTCCGCTGGCTGGCCGTGCTTCCTAGTAAAGTGGATGACCTCGCACTTGCTCGGGTCAAAGGAGACCTTGTTCTCCAAGCCCCATCTGAGAATGCCGGCTGCGCTTCGGTTGAGTATTGCGACGTTGCTCTCCAGGGAGGGGCTGATGGCCAGAGTGGCGATGTCGTCCGCGTACCCGAATCGCGCGTTCGGGTCGTCTTCAAGTATCTCTGCGATGTAGAGCAGAAAGGCAATGGGAGATAGTGGTGACCCCTGAGGCAGCCCGCATGACAGCGGGAAGTACTCCGTTGTGCTTTCTTCCAGTCGGACTCTAGCGGTGCGGTTGCAGCAGAAGCTAAAGATCAGTCTGGTCAGGCCATGTGGCCATCCCTGCTGACGCAGTCTAATGACGAGCCGGTTCCGAAGGACGGAGTCGAACGCCCCTTTTACGTCCATAGTCAGAAGTGTCGCCGTGAGTCCTTTTTAGGAGGGCCATCTCGATGTCGTGGGTGAGGCAGGTCGTCAGATCGACGGCTGACCTGCCTTGTAGAGCCCCGATCTGTTGCGGACTGATGATGCGCTCGACAATCGCCAGGGACGCCATCCTTCTGGCTATCAGTCGCTCTAGTCCCTTGCCCAGGCACGAGAGGAGCGCGATCGGCCGCCAGGACCCGGGCTTGGAGGCATCCCTGCCGGCCTTCTGGATCATGACCACCTCAGCTCTGCGGAAGGGCAGAGGAAAGTGGCCGGCCCGCATACAGGACTGGAATAGCTGCCTGACCGGTTCCGAGATGACATCCCAGCATGCCTGGAGGAGGCGTGTTGTGATGCCGTCCACACCAGGGGTCGTTGTCTTTGTTAAGGTGGCCGTCTTCACTTCTTCTCCGCTAACATTGTCCTGCCAAGTAATCGCTCGCCTCGGGACGACGGGTACGTCAAACGGGTCACCCGGTGCGTCATCTTCCGCACTAAACCTGTCGAGAAGGGCTCCCCGAAGCGCTTGAGCCTTTTCGTTAGTATCCTCGATCGTCTGGTTGTCCACAACCAATGGGGGTGCTCTGGTCAGTAGGCTCGCCTTCCGCCAACCCATGATCTGGTACAGGTCCCGGTCTGAAGCGACTCCATCGATCTTTCCGGCCCAGTATGCTCGCTTAGCCTTCCTCACCGTGCTCAGGAACGCCTTTCGTTTCTCCATTAGATAAAGGTGCGCATCTTGCTCCGTCTCCCAGGCTTGTTGGTTGCGGGCAGCACGGTATGCTCTGTGGGCCTCTGCGCATTCCTCCGTCCACCAAGCCGCGCCTTT